GGGGGGGGGTTGTGTGCGTTTCTTTAAAGTGTAACTCCGGCCTCACCCTCCTCTCACACACTTGTAGCATTGAAACTGATCTCCATTCCCTGCAAACTTCCATCTCCACAATATGACCCTTTGAAGCTGCAGCAACTATCCTGAGCCGACTTCACTCATCATCCGTCCCTCTCCTCCCCATCCATGCTGAGCCCACCTTACCCAGCTATTGGCTTTCTCTGCCATCTGTGATCTTTATCGCTGGCGTCAGTCACTGTACTCGAGCGCCGCTATGACAGAACACGTCCCTGGGGTTCCTTCAGACCTGCATCTGGAACAAGCAACTGATCAGCAGACTACACAGCTGCGTTCTGCAGCACCCAGTGCCCAGCAGGGATGCACATGTAGAGGGATGGCAGGGATGCGTTCCCTCTTATAACACTGGAAGGGGGTGGGGCTGGAATAATTTTTTTCTGGTGACATCACGGATTGCTGTATAGTGTGAGCTAGACCTAGTCAGTGGTGAGAGGACTGTGGCGGCTGGACTCACCGAGGGTCCACGGAGTCCCTTCCAGCACGTGAAGATTGTGCTGGTGGGTGAGGAGTGCGCCATGCGTCAGGAGAAAGCTCTGCACACTCCATCCGATTGGAGAACAACGATCACTTAGTGTATAACATGACGCATATCCAACGCGTTCCGGGGGGTGATTGGGGGCGCCCTCTTCTTCAGGGTCTTGGTAGTGTTAGATCAGTCGGGGGCACTGCAGGCACCTCAGACACTCCAAAACCGTGATCACATCAGGACACAGACTGTAATAAATATCTTACACCCCTCTGCTGACAGATACCTCGCAGTCTGTGTCCTGATGTGATCACGGTTTTGGAGTGTCTGAGGTGCCTGCAGTGCCCCCGACTGATCTAACACTACCAAGACCCTGAAGAAGAGGGCGCCCCAATCACCCCCCGGAACGCGTTGGATATGTGTCATGGCTCGCACGCAGACGCCTCGCTCGCACTCTTCTCTTGCAATGAAAGCTCCTTATCCTTAGGAGTCTAACTCCCTCATCGTCCTTCCCCTGTGACCTCTCCCTCCTTTTATGTCACACACAGACATGGCTCCTCTGCTGGTTCCCGCTACCTTCCTGTACATACTCCATGCACTTTATTTGCTTATAATAAAGGAAATGATGAGAAACCTCTGATAGCGGATCCTCTGCACCGGGAAACGAGAATAAAATCATTTTTATTTTGGATTGGCAGAATTGCCGTTTCATGTTCTTCGGGTAACGGTGACCCCCCCCAACCCTAGCCTCCCGCCCCCCCCAAATGCTCTTTTTTTCCTTCTCGTTATTGAAGTGTGAATATTTTCTGGGATCTCTGGGAATTCTCATTCCATTTGCGGAGTTTCGCCCTCCCGCTTGCGCTCAGCCTGTGTAATGAGGTGCTCAGCTGGGCACGGCCGCTCTACAAATTGCTCGTGTTAAACCGTATCCTAGCTACTGACAGCCGCCGTGACAGCGCCGGGGGCATCCGCTCCGCGGCGTATTACCCCGGAATACCTACATGTCCCTGCTGTCAGCCACGTGCGCACAATTGATTGCCGGGATCTTACTCCAGAATGGCGCTGAACCGCGTGAAACGGAGCAAAGTTCTGCCCGGTGACGGCGTTTCATCTGAATCTCCTGCAGCTGAAAGACGAGAACGTTGCCCACAAGTCACGGGACCGATTACCTGCAAGGTACGTCAGAGGTCTGAGAGTGAAAGTCCCTGATACGTGTGCCGTGTCCCCATCTCTGCGCAGCTACAAGAGGCTCCAGTCCCGGAACTGTCAGGACAATGAGACGAGGAATGTGATTGGTTGAGATACAACGGTTTCTTCTTAGATATTTCTGATTGATAAGTCCCGCCATAACCGTGTGTGTGACATCATGACCCCTACACTGTGTGTGTGACATCATGACCCCTACACTGTGTGTGTGACATCATGACCCCTACACTGTGTGTGTGACATCATGACCCCTACACTGTGTGTGTGACATCATGACCCCTACACTGTGTGTGTGACATCATGACCCCTACACTGTGTGTGTGACATCATGACCCCTACACTGTGTGTGTGACATCATGACCCCTACACTGTGTGTGTGACATCATGACCCCTACACTGTGTGTGTGACATCATGACCCCTACACTGTGTGTGTGACATCATGACCCCTACACTGTGTGTGTGACATCATGACCCCTACACTGTGTGTGTGACATCATGACCCCTACACTGTGTGTGTGACATCATGACCCCTACACTGTGTGTGTGACATCATGACCCCTACACTGTGTGTGTGACATCATGACCCCTACACTGTGTGTGTGACATCATGACCCCTACACTGTGTGTGTGACATCATGACCCCTACACTGTGTGTGTGACATCATGACCCCTACACTGTGTGTGTGACATCATGACCCCTACACTGTGTGTGTGACATCATGACCCCTACACTGTGTGTGTGACATCATGACCCCTACACTGTGTGTGTGACATCATGACCCCTACACTGTGTGTGTGACATCATGACCCCTACACTGTGTGTGTGACATCATGACCCCTACACTGTGTGTGTGACATCATGACCCCTACACTGTGTGTGTGACATCATGACCCCTACACTGTGTGTGTGACATCATGACCCCTACACTGTGTGTGTGACATCATGACCCCTACACTGTGTGTGTGACATCATGACCCCTACACTGTGTGTGTGACATCATGACCCCTACACTGTGTGTGTGACATCATGACCCCTACACTGTGTGTGTGACATCATGACCCCTACACTGTGTGTGTGACATCATGACCCCTACACTGTGTGTGTGACATCATGACCCCTACACTGTGTGTGTGACATCATGACCCCTACACTGTGTGTGTGACATCATGACCCCTACACTGTGTGTGTGACATCATGACCCCTACACTGTGTGTGTGACATCATGACCCCTACACTGTGTGTGTGACATCATGACCCCTACACTGTGTGTGTGACATCATGACCCCTACACTGTGTGTGTGACATCATGACCCCTACACTGTGTGTGTGACATCATGACCCCTACACTGTGTGTGTGACATCATGACCCCTACACTGTGTGTGTGACATCATGACCCCTACACTGTGTGTGTGACATCATGACCCCTACACTGTGTGTGTGACATCATGACCCCTACACTGTGTGTGTGACATCATGACCCCTACACTGTGTGTGTGACATCATGACCCCTACACTGTGTGTGTGACATCATGACCCCTACACTGTGTGTGTGACATCATGACCCCTACACTGTGTGTGTGACATCATGACCCCTACACTGTGTGTGTGACATCATGACCCCTACACTGTGTGTGTGACATCATGACCCCTACACTGTGTGTGTGACATCATGACCCCTACACTGTGTGTGTGACATCATGACCCCTACACTGTGTGTGTGACATCATGACCCCTACACTGTGTGTGTGACATCATGACCCCTACACTGTGTGTGTGACATCATGACCCCTACACTGTGTGTGTGACATCATGACCC